CAGGTAGACCCTAAATCCCCAATCCCTAACCCCTAAACCCTATAGAACCTAGACCCTCAATCCCTCAAGCCCTAAACCCCTAAACCCTAAACCCTATAGGCCAAAAAAACCCTAAACCCTCAATCCTTAAACCCTGAACCCTAAGCCCTCAAACCCTAAACCCTCAATCCCGAAACCCTCAAACCCTAAACCCTCAAACGCTAAACCCTAAACCCCCAAACTCTAAACCCTCATACCCTAAACCCTCACACCCTAAACCCTCAATCCCTAAACCCCCAAACCCTAAACCTTCAAATCCTAAACCCTCAATCCCTAAACCCCCAAACCCTAAACCCTGGGGCTCGGGGTCTCGATCCTAAGGCTGGTACTTGACTTCCCCGAGAGTGCTGCGAGCAGCGAGGAGGTCCATGTCCTGGATCTCGAGGAGAGCCCTGAGGTTTAGGATTTTAGGATTTGGTGTTTAGGGTTTAGCAATTATAGCTTTTAGGGTTTGGGGTTTAGGAATTATAGGGTTTAGGGTTTAGGGATTTAGGGGTTTAGGATTTATAGGGTTCAGGGTTTAGGGTTTACCTGGACCCCAAAGAACCTACTTTTTTTTAAGATACAAGTCCTTAGAGGGGTAGGTTATTAGTTATTAGGGGATAAGGTAGTAGTAGGTGTTTCATAGTATTTCTGGGTTTAGGGTTTGGTTTAGGGTTTAGGGGGTGTTTCCCATTTCCTGGGTTCCCCAGTGGTACCCTTTTGCGCTTTTGTTGCTGTTGGGTGTCTTGGTTTAAACATTGACTGGGTCCTTGTTGGCCACAATTTTAGATTTTTGTTATAATAAAGCCCAATAAGGATTAAAAATGAACGTGTTCAATATAGCTCCAACAAGGAACCAGTTGAGTATTAGGGAAAGGGTCTCATTCTCAATAAGGGTCACTGAGGAACCTAGGAGGGTTGCTGAGGAACCTAGTTTTACAGGTTTTTTTTGTTTGGGGTGGTGGGGGGCTCCTTTAGTTTTGTGAGTATGAGATCTTGACCATAGAATCGAATATCCAAGACAGAGTCCATTCCAAGGTCCAGGTAGGCTCTATAAGGATTCACCTAAATCCGCAGGTAAGGGATCGAGAAGCTTGATTCTAACGGCTCTTACAGCCACCCATGCACCTTCCGGGATGATTGTTCAGCTTCGAGTTGGGATATGTTGCTCTTCGGTTAGGGGCTGTAGGCCGTAGGGCTAGCCATAGTATAGTGGTGATATGGTGCTTCGCTATCTTCTTGCGGCCGCCTGCAGATGAAACGACCGGACGGCCCAATGGTGTCTAGTAATGTTCAGTGCATGCTCGAACGAGACCTCGAGTTTCTGACAACGTGTAATTAGGCAAAGAAAACATTATTTGGAAGCCGGATATAAGGCTGCTGTGAGACATCAGCTTAATGCAGGGACCTTAATAGTTAGAATAGGGTTTGGGGGTACATTTTACATAGTATAATTATAATCAGGAGCCCCCCCAAGCCCTATTCTAATTATTAAGGCCCCTACATGAACTAATTCCCCATCCACATGGCTTTGCAGATTCAAGTCCTATAGCCTGAAGCTTGTTTAATCCACGTTTCTGACGAAGAACCCAGAGACTCCAAACCCTCTTAATTAAGGAATATATCTTAAATCATAGTGGGATCCCTATTATAGTTTAAGGTATATTCCTTAATTAAGGAATATACCTTAAATCATATTAGGATTCCCATTATAGTTTAAGGTATATTCCCTAATTAAGGGATTTGGAGTCTCTGGGAAGGAGCTGGCCGGCAACGTCGCCTTGCACCAGAAGGCAGTGCAAGTTAGTCTGGTGTGCACAAGGCCGAGGGGGTACGATGCAAGGCTCGAAATCGCGACTCAGGATTTAACCCCAAACCCTGAACACTGAATTGCCCGAAACACTAAACCCTAAACCCTGAATAAAGACCCGCAAGCCTAAACCCGAAACCTTGGCCGGGGCGACCTTGCCCGGCAACTGGGACGAAAGGCTTTCTGCAGCTACCCCCAGAAGCAAATAGGCAGAAAGAGCGTCAAGGCATGGTTTAGGGTTTACCCAGAGACTCCAAAATCCCTTAATTAAGGAATATGCCTGAAACTGTAATAGGAATCCTAATATGATTTACGGTATATTCCTTAGTTAGAGGGTTTTGGAGTCTTTGGGTATGTGTTCATAGAATCCCATTTCAGAGACCTACCCCAAACCTCAAATACTAAGCTTAAATTCTAAACCCTAAACCAGATAAGTGCTCATAGAATTCCATTTCAGAATCGGACCCTAAGCCCTAAGCTTAGACCCTCAACCCCAAACCAGGTAGGTGTTCATAGAATCCCACTTCAGAAACCTACCCTGAACCGCCTGAACCCTAAGCTTAGAGCCTCAACCCTAAACCAGGTAGGTGCTCATTGAATCCCACGTCAGAAACTTACCCTGAACCTCAAGCTTAAACCTTTAACCCTAAACCAGGTAGGTGTTCATAGAACCCCATTTCAGAAGCCTACCCTAAACACTAAGCTTAAACCCTAAACCCTAGACCAGATATGTGTTGATAGAATGCCATTTCAGAGTTCTACCCTAGATGCTAAACATTAAGCTTAACCCTACCCTAAAGCAGATATGGGGTTTAGAGTTTAGGGATAGGGACCTTTGGATTAATTGTGAAGGTACATGGACATCTGTCAAAATCATGGTCTCTTCGGCAACCGTACATAATTTCATTCTTAATTTTGCACCCCATAGAGGGGGCCTAGTTTGGACAACCACCCTAAACCCCTAAAGGGTCGGGAGACTTAGTAAGTAGGTAATAAGTAGACTCATAAGTGCCCTAAAAGGGACCCTAACTGGGGTTATAGTACTTATAAGTCTATAAAATAACCCTAAACCCTGAACCCTGAACCCTAAACCCTAAAACCTAAACCCTAATTTACTACGTCCCCCGACCCTCCAAGTAACTACTGGTTTAGAGTCCGAGGGAGCAGCTCCACTGCCACACCTTCTAGAGCCTCGCGGTTTAGGATTTAGGGTTTGGGATATAAGGGTCCTCGGGGTTTCGGGTTTCAGGGTTAGGGTGTAGGGTTTAGGGTTTAGGGGTTTGGGGTTTAAGGTGTAGGGTTTAGGTTTCGGGTTTAAGTGCAGGTTTGAGCAATCCTGGTCATGTTCCGGACAGGTGGTCTTTCAAGTGCGTGTCGGCGATATGGCGACAAAGTCAGCTACACGTCCGAGCAATGCCGAAGGGACTTTTCGGATTTCTGCACTTGTGAAGTAGCTGTAAACCCCAACGCTTAAACACAACAACTTCAAAGGAATTAGGCTGTACATCTGGCAGTAGTAGAAATAGCAGCATAGTAGTCGTCGTCGTTGTCTCAGCTGGAACTACCCAGTATATGGAGGTCCGCATAAAGATTCCGCATGGTTGAAGCCGCTCTTTCCATCCAGGAAAGTTAAACCAAGAAATCCTACGTAACTCTAGATTTTATAGGGTTAAGGGCTTGGGGTTTTAGACCCTAGACTATCGAAACATAAACACCAACCCGAACCGAGTTCTCCGAATATTGGCCACCACAATGCAACAGGCACATACTGCGGTAGGACGGAAGTTTGACCCACTTGCTTCTTCTTGGGATACGAGGCCCCCATTCCCCCGTAGAATCC